TCAACCCGGAGTATTTCATATCTCTAACCATTGAGCTGTTGTCTTGAGGTCAGATACCTCTACACAACATTGACAAATGCTAACAGTCATTAGACTATTTCTAGGAAATGACTACATTTAAAATGTGACAACAAAGGAATTGCCATTAACAATGCTAGTAATTCTTGCTTGTTAACAAACACTTTTTACTGCCTTCCATCTGGGTTGTTGTATCATGTTGCAAGCATGAAGCTCTGAACATCTTTGAGACGGTTAAGATGCTCTTAAACATCCAAACCTGCCAATATTGAAAAGAGTGAATCAAACATGTAAGCAAAGGAGCAGAACATAGATCACCTTTTTCTTTTGATGATTATCGTATATATAGCTAACTAACAACAGACAAAATGACAGGAAAGAAATTAAAGAACAGCATATGTATTAGCAATGTTTGCCTCTTTTACTAATCCTAAAATGAATATTTGAAATGCAAAAGCTGAAGAGTATATACAAAGAAGCTAAACATGGATTCATCCAACAGAGATTGTTGCACAGCGCATTTCTTGTCTCTGCCTGTAGAAATTCTTCCTCTTAGCAGGAGGGGGGCAATCACTCTGTCTGATGTCTTTCTGAAACTACTAAAATTCCACTATCACCGCAATCTCCCCAGGATGTTAAATGAAGAGTTTGTTGAATGAGCTTAAATGGGATCTTCTTTCCTCTCTCATCTTTTTAAACCACCCTTGTAGCAAAGGGTACATGGAGGCCTGATCCTTCTGTTTTTCACCTGTGGATCAGTATTAGTTTTGATAGGACTGCAGAACTGAGGGACAAATTAAGCTACAATTCAGGCTGTACCATAGTTTGACTTCAGCTATTATGCCTGTTTTTTAGACAGGCCAGGGTCATTAAGAACTGTTGGTGCACCCAAAGCCCTGACAAGCCTCACCTGGACCCTCCACCCATGCACCTTCTGCCCAGTGCCCCAGGAGCTCCGCTTAAGCTCAGGCTCAGGCCCCCTGAGCTATGTCACAGTGTACCTGTGCTCAACCCTGTCCCTGCTGCCCCAATTTTCTCACTGGGCTTCCTGGATTGTCCTCAGATGTGACTAATTACCTTGCTATGTCTGATGATTACAAGACTGTCACCGTCACCACTCCTGCCCTGATTAAATACTGCAGGACATTCTCCTGGTCAGGGAGGTAACTACTCCTGCCTGGCTTGTGGCTGTCTGCAGCCATAGTGTCACGGAGCAGCCCAGCTCTTCTTGTTCCCTGGCGGTTAGCTCAGACTTTTGTGAAGGACCGGCAGTTATTATACTGCCAGACATGCTTCGGCGTAATGTAGCTCAGGCAAAGACTAGGGGCAGTCTGGCCTGAGCTTAAATGGGGCTCCTAGGGCCATGGGTGGAAGGCTCAGGTGAGGCTGGTGAGGACAATTAAGGGAAATCAGTGCATTCAGGGCCCTGATGCAGAAGAAATGAAGCTTGGCTAACTTATTGGCACTGGAAGGGAGAAAGGCAAAGAGGTTTTGTAACTATTAATGTACTATCTCAAAGTGTGGGGAGGCTGTGGCACAGTGGCCAGCAGTTGGTTAGTTTATGTGTGCGTTCAACTCTGTTATTGCTAAAGCATTTTCTTTTTTAGAATATGAGTGGATAGGATCAAGGACCTTGCTATGCTGCTTGAGCATAGTGCGTTCAATACATGTGGTGTCCAAAACTTTCCATTAGCTTGTCACTTGACCTCACTGAAAAAATAATAGACAAAAATAAATGGTTTTCTGATCTCTGATACTATGTATCTGTAGTGATTTTGAGAAAATATGTATATAAATGCAGAAGACTATATTTTAATCTATTTGATTCTGACTTTGTACTTCCAGGTTCCTGAGCATGCAGAACTTGCCTGGATTCTTGGGTGCTTAACTAACGTGCCGCGTCTGCTACGCTTGCCCCAATGGAAGGTATGGACAGTTTCATAAATTGAAAGGAAATGTAGGGGAATTTGGTAGAACTGCTGTCCTTGAAATACTTGTTATCTGTGAAGTACCAACTGTACCTTGGTTATCCCTGCCTTAGGTTTAAGTAAGTCTCTAGTCCTATGGTGGAAGGAGGAAAATGTGTCTTTCCAGGTCTGTTGCTTTCAGTGAATATTTTTCTGCTGGAAGCTACAGGATAGTATTTTTGGCAGAGACTTGCAGAAACTGTGCTAAATAGGAGGGTTGTTTAGTGTTGTTAAACTGATTTTGCTAGAATGCTTGGAGTTATTTCAATGCTTATTTAATAATGCAAAACAACCACAAGATATTGCTGTGGAAACCTTGAGCCTTGCTGATTAAGGAGTTCCATAAACAGCTTTTCTTTTTCCACTGTGAAGAGTGGCTGTTCTGCAGATTTTATGGAAGAGGGTGCAAAAGAAGCATATATTGGAAGAGGAGTATAGGAATTATAAATAATAAAAATGTGCTGAGTGATAAAGTTAATGCACCTTAAATGTTTGCCTTTATAAGTTTCAAGTGTTCATCTTAGTAATCTTGGTACTGCATCAGCATGACTGCATCAACTGAATTCTTGCATTTGACTTCTTTGTATTGTATTTTGGCATTTAGTAAGCAGAAAAAACAAAAAGCAGGAGAGAGAAGTATCAAAAAAGGGGGGCGGGGGGGAAATCTTAAGAGCAGTTTGGCTTGCAGAGTTCAGAGCAGTCTTAAATATCTCCAGATGTTTTCTTTTTTCCTGTTTTTCTTCTTAATTAAATAAAAACAGTAAAACTTAAATACAGCAACCAGTGTTAATGCATGGCATAGATTAAAGCCAACCTTTTCAAACCTGAGGTGCTAAAGTTAAGCTCTTAAATCCAACTTTGACTGGATTGACTTTCCAGATCTACAGATAGGTGTTACAGGTGCTAGGCTTTGCAGATTAGGTCCCCTGAACCCTAGGCACTTAGAGATGTAGACAGAAGACAGGATCTGTACAAGAGGGTGAGAAAAATCTGAAGATATTTGAATAGTCTTAATGAAATAACTGAGATTTTAAGAATTATAGTGTATTTAACTACTATTAAAAGCAAAAAGTACACATGCCATTGCTAGAACAGAATGAGTATCTGTAGCCTGACTATCTTGGTTTAAATGATCCATATCCTAGAGAGGTAAAGGACTTCAAGACAGTGGGTGGATTGTTGGGAGCAGCATGAACTAATGGAGAGAACACTGGACTCTGCCTCTAGTTCTGGGTTCTCCTCCTAGCTGCCACTGCCTCTCCTGGTGACTGCGTGTGATCACTATGTCTTGATCTCATTTCTGTGAAACACAGGTATTAATGCCTGTTTATATCTCTTACAAAGCGTTTCAAAACTCTACTGATGAAAATGCTATTTAAGAAGTAGGGTTTATCAATAATAAGTGTAATAACCCAGCCTGATTGTTTTGTATTTGTAATCATTTTTGTTAATAAGATTTCAAACAGAAAGAAAACACAAGCCTATGTTTTCTCCTCACTACAATATCAGAAAAAAAAAAATGGGATGTGTGTATTCACAAGGAGTGCATTTTACATGGCACACTTTTCTCTAGAGTTACATAATAAGTTACTCAAATTAGTCAGAATTCTAATTAATTAAAATCACAGACTTTGATACCATTAGCCAAAAGGGTGATTTCTCTCTGTTCTTCTTTTGCAAACAGATGAAGCGTGCCAGCCAGAATAATGAAGGAACTGTTGGTTTGTTGACTTATCCTGTGCTTCAAGCAGCAGATATTTTGCTGTACAAGTAAGAGGCAGAATGTGAGCCCATGGGCAATGTCTGTTCAGCTGCGTTAGAATGAATGTTCATCAGGTCAACATGCTAACTTACTAAGTAGGGGAGCTGGGTGTGATTAGATCAGAAGATTGGAAATGGTTGACGGCTTTTTTACCTCTCAGGTGGCTGGTTGAAATCTAGCCTGGCTTGAAAGCAACTGACAGGGCTGCAAAGAGAAAAAGCTGGTCACTTCAGAACAATTCTTACAACACGTTGATGTTTAATTATACATATTACGTGTTCACACACATACAAATACATACTTTTTTTAAGTAGTTATGATTTATTTTATGCAGTGTACTGTAGAGATACTTAAGCTGGCTGTATATAGTATACCCATATTAGTGTGGGATTCTGTGTAGGCCTGTTGATACTGATGAAAAAGTGAGTAATTTACTGCACCTTGTGGTACCTGGGCTAGGTCAGTTTTCTCTGTGGTGTACTATGTGCTGCAATGGAATTACACCCTAATGAGGGACTGGTGACTCAGCATGCCTAAGTTTGTAGCCTAGCTGATAGAACTTGTAGTGCGTTGTCGTGACTGGTTGTGTTTTATACTGTCTCAATAAGTAAATGTCAGAGACAATGCACTATGTATTAATTATTTTTATGTTCTGAGCATATGTACTTTGTGGAATTCTTCTGAAGTGAAGTTGTGAATATTTTTTGGAACAGAGAAGTAATACAGAACTATGAGGGCAGGGACTTTAGGAGGACAAAGTAACCAAGATTGGCAAGTTGTTAACCCAGAAAAATCTGTCTGGAGAAATTTAATCCTAAGTGATCATCAGTAAGAGAAAATAGTAATGTTAGAAGACCAGTAGATGATATTTCTGATTCACTTGAATTTTAACTAAAAATAACGGGAAGCAAAAGTCAGAATGAATTTGAACATAAAAATAATCTTCTAAGCTGAGAGTCCCATTTGATTGTCAAGCAGTGTTTAAAGGTGAAATTCAGACTTTACCAGAAATCACCTTGTTTTGACTGAGCGCAACCATGTATGTCTCTTCCATTTCTAATAAGATCATGTGATTCATCATTCCTTAGCGAAGCCTGTGGTTTGTTTGCTACCATGTGTATTAGCAGCAGGCTGTCCAGACAGCACAAAACAGGGAAGTGAAAGAGAAACAATATCTCTTTGAAGAAATTTGACATAATATCTTTAGTAAGACATGTTTTAATGTAAAAACATAACATAGGGAACAAGAATCAGGGAGAAATAGAAACACAGAAAGGGAACAGCAGTCATGAAGAAGACTTAAGAGCCTGAGGAGGAGGAGAAACAGTACTAATTCAGGTGAACTAAGGATCAAAGAGACAGGAAAATGGACAGAAGGTAAATATATGACAGAAAGGAATAAAAATAGCACCAGGACAGAAATATTAAAAAAACAGCAAGGAAAAAGGCAAAGAATCATGCAGAGGCATTTATAAAGACAATATGTTTTCTGTTTAGTGGCAAACTTTGTGAATGTGGAACCGTTTTGGCATATGGAAACATTTCTTTTGACCTGCTTAAAGTGTATTGATTATGGTAACTGATTTTCTTTTTGTTAGTTGTAGGCCACTGTGATTTCCTATTGGCTACTGTAACTGTTTTTAGGTTGCCTTGCTGACTGTTTGGTGGGGAATAAAGGTGGACAAATTGATTCCTGAATGTCAACCTAGTAATTCAGAATCGGAAGGAAGGAGTACCATGTTGAACTGAAATTTTCTGGGAACTTAGAAGATGCATAGTGAACTTTCTTACACTGGAACATATCAAGGACTCAGAGCTGAATACCCCACAAGCCTTAGAAAAAAAAATCTGCTGGGGGAGGGGAGAGGAATCAGAAACTGGCAAGACTTCAAGTCTGCCTCATCTAAAAGAATCATACATTTTTAGCAAGTGTGATTAACTGTAGGAAAGAATCACCAGGGGAAGTAATGGATTCTTCACCGCCTCATGTCCTCTGATGCAGATTGTGTTTTCCTCCAGAACTGCATTCAAGCTATTGAGTTCAATACAGAAGATCAAATGATTCTATGATCCTAACAATTCTAATCTATGAATGAGAACACTTGTGGCAGTAGAGGCACTGGCCCACATGATATTTATATAATGGTGACCCATGAGGAAGAACCACTCTCTTCTTTCCTTCCCTTGATAAATCCAAAGTACTAACTTCTCAACAACAGTTATGTTTTCCTGAGACTTGACAAGGCAAGGTACTGGCGCTTTATGCCTTGCAGATCTTTCTTGCTTTGTTCACACACTGTAACACATGCTCTTTGATCTCTAAAGAGACAGCAGGAGATACTACAAAAACCTTTCTTTGAGCTGAGTTTAATGATTTGCTCTTATTGGTATCTTTACCATGTATGTTTTCACGAAGGGCTATTTTTGCCCTTGGAGATGTGCTTCAGTTCAGCACAAAAAGTAGACTCATCCTGGGATGCAGTCAGCTTGGTATCTTTTTCCCACAGCACTTATATCTAGCTGGGACTGAGTGTTTGGCTCAATCTGGCCCTCAGTCATGGCAGAAGCTGTGACAGTCTTGAGTAACATTTCAGCAGAAACAGAGAGCTTTGCTGAGTTTCCTGTATCTGTCTTTTATTAAAAGGTCGACACATGTTCCCGTTGGAGAAGATCAAGTCCTGCACCTGGAACTAGCCCAAGATATAGCACAACATTTCAACAAGAAATACGGAGAATTCTTTCCTGTGCCCAAAGCCATTTTAAGTGAGCTGGTCTTGGTTTGTTGTTTTTTTTTTCTTCCCCCTTAACTGCACTTCAAGGTTGAAGATGGATTTAAATATTGTGGAAATAGTTTCAGGGACCAAGCAAAGGGAGCAAACTGATGCTAAGGGAGTGGAAAATTAAAAACTGACAACAGGAGACTAGAGGCTGTGAAATTGAACTCCCAAGATAGACATAAGACTTCACAAATCCCCGGTAGAGGAATGTATGCGACGTCTGGTATTCTAGTCCAGGGGGCCAGATACACTCTGCTGCTGCCAGTCAGCCTTGCTCTTCAAGTGTTGGACCTTTTAAGAGTAGGGTCTCTGCTCCATGTTGCTAGTTCAGGAGACATGTACGGAACAAGACAAGAGACCCCTAGTAAGCAAATTTCTTCAGTGTCTGAGTGGTAGATGTTTACATTAACCATGCTAAACAGCTTGCAGGCTTATTGCTACAATGCTCAAATATCTTTTAAGTGTGTTTAATATATACTTGCATATTTCAGTAAGGGTCTCTTACAGAGCTTAGACTTTCCATTTTTTATCTTAGACTCAGGGAGACTTACAAGGAAAATCTTCTCAGCCATTTTTGAGCTATAAGGTCATAGGCCGGGGGGTGAGGAGGAGTCAGATGGCGTAAATGGCATGTTTGTTAAGAAACGTGAAGAATTGGGCAAGGAAGAAGCATTGCATCTTTGTTGTAAGTAATGTAGAGGAATGCACAGCAGAGACCTTCGCCCCTAAAAGGGCAAGGAGCTCTCACCTTAGAAAAGACAGGCAGTAATAAACCTTTCTCAATTTTCAAGCCTCAGTGACAAAAATGGTGTTAGACCCAGAGTGGAGCTTAGAGAATACTAGGTATTGCAAGCTCTGCAATTTCTAGTGAACAATTAAATACTAAACACTGTAATGAGAATCTGAGTGTAGCCTATGATGCAGGCAAGACTGTTTCCCAGGAAATAAAAAGCTCAATTTGAAAAAAAAAAAAAAAAAATTAAACTTTCCTCATTAAAAACATACCTTCATAAGAGCACAAGTATATGCAAACCAATGAAATATCCTAGGTGAATGGAGGAGTTAGGGACCTATTCAGACTCACTAGCTGTAGGCAGTTAGATTACCTGGACTCCTTCAAATCTACAGAAGAGAGACAGGCTCTTCCAAAAGCACAGAGCACTCAGAACAGAGCACTTTCTGGGGGCAGTCTGAATTGTACCCTGGAAGAACACTTATCCTTTCACTGAATACATAGGCTGTCTATGAGGAGTATGCAGGTAACTTAGTTGGCTGTGTTAGGTGTCTAAAAAAAATAGGTGTGAGTACTTTCTAGATCAGTGGTACTTTGTGTACTCTATGAATGATGTTTCTTGATGAAAGACTGAAACAGTTTGGGTTTACGCTGTTAAAGAAAGTACTTTGCAATATTCCCCTAATGCTACTATTCTGTTTCATGTACACGCATGTATCTTAGTAGTTTGTACAATACCCAACCTCTCATATCTGAACAGTGCTTTCCCTCTAATGGAGCTGGTTAGTGTTCCGTTAGGGAACTTCTAATAACTATCTTAATTGATATTTAGGAGAATTACCAAGAGATTTTGGGTGGAAGATTTTCCTAAAGTAAGGAGATTAACTGTTCTGTGATTCTTTTTTACCAGTGGATTTAACCTGTTTCTTCACTGTTGCAGAACCTTTGAATGATATGCAGTCCATGCTCTCTAAGTAACTTGTCCCCAGTGCCAGGAATACAAGGGAGGAGAGAGTTTTCAGGGAAGATCAGCATGTAGCCACAGAAAATATTAGGAGGTGTCCCAGCAGAAGTTTTTGCTTAGTGAGGAGGAGAGAATTGGAGCAGGTTTTCATTTAGTTAATGGGAGGAGAAAAGTGGCTTAGAAGGACGGGGAGGGCATAAGGACTAAATAGGAGTGTACACGATTGTGCTTACAACTCATTTTTAAGCAAGGGTAAACAGAACTTCGTCAAGCTGCTACAAAGTGTTCTTAGCAATTGTCATAAGAAACCGTTGTCTGTGTGTGTGTGTTCGTAATTATTTCTTTTTTTTTTTAAGGTACAACAAAGAAAATAAAATCCCTCAGAGATCCAACAGTGAAGATGTCCAAGTCAGACCCACAGAAGTTAGCTACTGTTAACATAGCGGACAGCCCTGATGAAATAGTGCTGAAATTCCGCAAAGCTGTGACTGACTTTACCTCTGAGGTGACCTACGACCCAGCCGGTCGCCCTGGTGTCTCCAATCTGGTGTCCATTCATGCTGCAGTAACGGGGCTTAGCATCAAAGAAGTGCTGCACCAATCTGCTGGTCTCGACACTGCTCACTATAAAATGGTGGTAGCAGAGTCAGTTATTCAAAAATTTGCACCTATCAGGAATGAAATCAAGAAACTCCAGGAAGACACATCCCATCTGATAAAGATTTTAGAGGATGGAGCAGAGAAAGCCAAAGAACTGGCTACCCCCATCTTTCAAGAAATAAGACGACTGGTGGGTTTTCAGTAGAAACTGCTGAGTAGTTGCAAGGACTTTTGTTTCCTGGGACAGACATTTTGTTATTTGTATCTTCTTAATCATTTTGGTTTGAAACAAAAACATTTTTTCATGGAAAATCCAAGTAGAACATTGAAAGTGTTTGCATTTAAAAATGTGCATGAAGCCAGATACTTCCAGTGGGACCAGCATTGAGCTTGTCTGGATAGTGAAAGAGGGAGGGTGGAAGCAATCACAGTTCATGAAGAAATCCCGCAAAAGCAGAATATAAGGTTGCCCCAATGGGATTTTGGGTTTTTCCATTGACCACTGCAAGAAACTGAGATATAGGCAAGGTGATCAGAATCTAGCAGAAAGATTTGTAATCTTCTCAAAAACATCCTTAGCTGTACATGTGATCTTGTTACAGATGGACAACTCATCCCATTGGTGGTTATTCAGCTTTGATATGGTGGTTGAATGTGTTCTTGGATAACCAGAATAAAAGCACAGGCTTACAAATCAAAATACTCAGGCTGATGAAGAGAGAACTTACTGCCTTTCCCTATCGCGTCTTCAAACTCAATGTAATTTTGTATCTGCATCTAGTTTGTGTGAAGTGAGTCAGTGTGTCTTATGGATATGGATATCTATACTCTAAAGCTCACTGTGACTACTGTGCTAGATGGCCTCTTTGATAGTCACTCTAAAGAATCCAGAGAGCGGACTTGAATTTCAGTTTTGCCTCCTGTGTCATCCTGCTGGTCAGGTCTAGGGTACTTCAGTGAGGAATGACACGTGCAGCTTCAGCTGCTCCTATTCCACCTGCTGTTCGGTTTAGCAGGGAGCTCCAGGATTTTCAGTTCAGCATCAAGTCTAGGATTCCTTTAGAAAAGGTGCAGGGGAAAAGATGTAATCCTGTGTGAAAGAAATCTTACCTTGAGAAATCAGAGAACTTTCTGTAAAATTTACAAAATTACTTGTTTAGAAAATTGTGCTGATGTCAGAGACAGAATGGGATTAAATAGATCTTTATGAAATCACACTACTGAGCCTCAAGAAAACTCAGTGATGGGAGAATGGTGTTAGCCTCCGCTGATCTTAGGTCTCACAAAACCCACAGACTGGGACCCATGGACCATGGCATTTGTTGGGGAATATGGCAAAGGGGAGCTGCCAAAAAGAGACACCCTCTTCTGAAGCAGGGGTAGTAGTACATGTTAAAAGGTAATGAAAGCCCTACAGGTCCTGTGCCGGCATATTTAGGTGTATCATTGCAGTTACTGGTGCTGTGTTTGAAATTGCTGTACTGTAATGTAAATTGAGTTCATCTTGTACTCCGGCAGCTCATAACCATTATAGGCCTATGGCATTTGTCATGAAGGATTGCAGTCTTACATGACTGAGTTAGTAAAACTGGAGGGGGGGGGTCTATGTAGTGCAGTTGTGGTTTTGTTTTTAAAAAAAAAGTTATTTAGTTTTAAATTTAGTTAATTATCATAATGAGGTGATTCAGAAAGAATTATTTAATTTTGCAAAACAAGAAGTTGTGGACTGAATGTCTGTGTCTCTGTACTGAGGCCTGTATTCATTTGTTAGGGATCTGAAAAAGAGAACTGCCATGCAAGAACTTGATGATGACCGAGTTTCTAAAATTAGTCAATACTAGAGGAGCAGAGTGGATGGAGACAGAATGATGGGAAATCAAATTCGGTGTAGACAAGTCCAAGGTAATGTCCTCTGGAAAGAATAAGTGTATTCAAAAATAGTCCCTGGTTTCACATTATCTGTAGCGGATTAGGAAAGGGCACAGTTATAACTGTGCATATTTAGCTAGTTATACAAAACTTTTGTCAGTGATTAACAGCTGCATTAGTCTGCCTGAGAATTAAGACAGAAAATTAAGGCACGCAGTTACCCCTGCTTACTGACTTGGTATAAAATGTTTGCTGTGACACACTCAACATTTCTGCAAAAGTCCCAGAACAGGTTCCTTAAGAGAAGCTAGCACAGCACTCATAGGGATACTGAAAATCTTTAACACTGATGTATCTAGTTTCTACCTGTTCCTCTTTTTCACTAGCAAAGATAGGAGCATGCATTCAAAAGATGAATCATAGTTTCAACGTGTCTTTACACTTCCGATACTCAAATCACCTAATATATAGGGTTGGAGTTCAACACACCTCCTTTGCAGTGAAAAGGAAATAGGAGTATTCATATCCCTTCAATACAATTTATTTAAGAAAAAAAAAGGGGGGGATGACATCAACAGGCAATTCTGGCTCGTTACCCAATCTGTTTTTAGCAATCTTCCAAAATTGTTAGGTTTTTTTCAGAAAATCACATAGGTGAAGCAGGAAGAAAAGCTTCAAAAGAGCCCTTTCTTTTGGGTAGGGGTTTAATACATTACATATTTAGCAGTGTTTCAATCAAATTTACTGGTTTTTCTCTTTTTAATTCAAGAATAGATTGGGGTTTTCCCCTTCCCTTTCCCCTGTCAATCAAACAAATCTTACTTGCCTGACCTATTTCCTTCAAGTAAGGAAATATGCCTGTTTTTTCTTCTTCAGTAGAGTTAAACTTGTGTAAAATGAGTATGTTCACCTACTGATTGTTGACTTAGCCTTTTTATTTTAGTAGCTCCTGTGGAGGAATTCTCAAAACAAAAGCTGCATCTGCCCAGTGAAATAATCCCAATTCCACTAACAACAATGATCATTAAAAGAGTCCCCTGAGAGGAGACAACTGTAATGTAGATGTCTGCAGGTATCTGCTGCCTATTTCAGTTTTCTTAGAGCGTGGCTTTTCTGGGAAGTTAACCATCTTGGCATTCAGGTTAAGAGTCTAGCTGGACCTAGCCTGGCTGCCTCTGCATTCCTTGAGCCATTTACTTGGCATCTGGAAGAGTTTAGCAGGAAGAAGCTGAGCTTGAAGCAATGAGTGCTCACTACTATCAGTAAAAGTTGTTTGATACCAAGCTACTCTGATCACTTTGCTCTTCTTCTACCTCCCTGTTTCCTCTTGAGAACTTTTTTGTAAGCACCCGTTCTAGATGGTGTTCTGTGGCAGTGTTTGCTTTAGCAAAGTAGTGCAGATGACTTAGAGTAGCCTTTTAGAGAACAGTTGTTGGAGAAGGCTTGGTGCTGTGTATTTCAGAAGGATTTGTTTCACGCTAACTCTAGTCCAGTGTGCCGTTTATATCTGGAGTGCAGTAGGTGCACTCCTGAAATGCATTTTCATGTTTGGTTTCATACAGTTCATATTCTCTGAGACGTCTCTGGGATGCCTGCTAAAGTGCAGTTAGTGGGGACAGTGGGGAGTTTCTGCAGAAGCACGCTCCTGATCCCAACCGCAATGCTACTGTAGACATGCCCAGTGGTGCCGTGGAAGTCATTGTAAAATGTTCTTCCAGGACTGGGCGGGAAAGAGATCAAATCACATCTTCCCTAGTTAAAGAAGGAAGAGTTGAAAGGTGGAGAGGTATCCTTACCCATTGCTGTGTTGCTCCTTGTTTAGGCTTCCTTTTCTTCAGCGATCCTTTTCCTCGAATGTGTGCAGTAATGTGTCTTAGTCTTGAAATCTCCTCCTTTCTCATTCCTGTATGTTTAGTGCATGGGAAGTACCTATGTAGTGGTTGGGATCTGCAGTATCAGACCTAGCATCTCCAGGTAACTGAGAGATTCACTTACCTTTAGAGATGAACATCAACTCCACTGTGAATAACTTACTAAGATCTAACTAAAACATTTATACACTTGAGACATTTATCTTTGTGGCCAATGGTTCCTTATCACTTATCAGAAGACACTGATAGCGAGTCTCAGTTCTGTGCTCCCAATTTAGAGCACAGAATTTACTGGGAATTTTAGATTCAGGAACAATGTTTTCTTTAGCAGAGACTCAGATGATGATTGGCCTCATAAATGAACTCTGGCACTGCTCCAGCATCTGCATACATCCCTGCCTCAAATAACTGGAGTGTATGTATATTGTACGTTATACTGGAATTTGTTTGTAACTCTTAAAGATGTGGTTGAAGTATACTTAGTTTTCAAACACCATGATTCTCAGATTCTCCAGAAGGCATTGTTCATAGTTCTGTCTTTATCTACAAACAATTCAAGCAAAACTCCTTAGCAGGATTATGGTTGCCTCCATTCAAGGTTAGGGTGAGCTAAAAGGTTAAGGAAGGACAGTGAAATGGGATCCTTGGGGACTGACCTGCATCTGAATGTTTTGGGACTATAGGTTATCAGAGCAAGTGTCTTCCTATCTTTGGTTAAGGCCATCATGATCCTGACAACAGTACAGCAGTAAATACTGCTGATGAAAGCCTTTAGGTCAGCTTATGTAGGAATTCTGTATCTGATTTGTTGAGGACTGTACTATAACATGAAACTTTAACTTTTCTGGTCTCAATAGTTCGGATGATTGTGTCAGCAGAAATCTGTTTGGAAATCATTAGCCAAAGCCAAATCTAATCCTCAGATCTAAAGCCTTTGGATGTTTTCCCAAAATGGAGATTTCCCAAAACAGCTTGTTTTTGATAAGCTACAATACCAATTTCAGTAGTTGCTGTAGGATCAGTAGGAGCCAGAGGTCCATTCTGAATGACTCATTCTTATTTTTCATTACTGCTGTGATGCACGTTCTACTTATCCATATGGCTCAAAGATCATGATAAAACTCAAAGAGGGTCTGTGTGTGGTTCTGGCAATAGCAACAATGTGGACCCAGGTGGGTTTGAGTCTTGAATCTAATGAGCATGCTCTTTCAGTGGTCCAACTTGGTTAGATTTATGTTCAGAACAACAGATGGATCTTTCACCTATACTGGTACCTCTGCATTTGAGTTCCTGGATGCTGCCTACCTGCTTGTTTATGACTGATTGCTTCACAGAGAGAAATAGCGTGCTAGCATAGGGGGTCTAGTGGAAAAGGTTTTCTGTTCAGGAAAATGTTACCTGTTCTTGCCAAGAAAACAAAAACCCTCTTTCTGCTATATTGGGCTATCTAATTTCTTTTAAATGATTAGATCTGTTCCTTCTTTCTGGGTAAACTTGGCAATAATAGCTGCAAGAAGAATGCCACTTTATTGTGTAGTCAAAAGTCTTGGAAGGACCCAGGCATCTCCTCTCATCATTTCAGAAGTCCCTTACATTGTGGGACTTTACTAGTTGGATGAGCCAGTTTCAGGGAAAATGCTGCAGCAAAACTGTCATCTTATGTGACATTCATTGATCTAATTAAAGCTTTTGTGGTTTGGTTTGGTTTGGTTTTTTTAACTCACTAGGCTGTGAGAAAAGACTTTTGTTAAACTTTGAATTTCCAACCAAGCTTTCTATCACATAGTTCTTTGGTGACCAGACAACAGCTGGAAAATTCTGTTTATTGTCACAAAAGATTCTGTGCTGATTCCCACTGTCTTTTCTATCGGTTTTGTTGGTTGCGCTAATGGTCGTATTGTGGAAGGTTTGACAGAAAAGTGTTTATTTTGTTTTGTGCCAATGAAAAAT